AACTTGATAGATCACAGTTTTAACTAGAAGACATAAGTCTATACTTGCAGTGTTGTATAGTTGGAGTTTATTACCAGTCAGGGCCTAGAGATGATCACTACAACCTCTGTTATACATTGCTTGGGTATTTGATTGATTGACTGTTGTGAGTGTGTTCAAGTGTGTGTTTATAACACATTTTGATGTAAACTTTTGATTAAATATTTTACTTGCATTCTGCATTGGAATGTTTTCCAGCATCCTTACACCTGGACCTCCCCCATACCCTTCTGTGTGTATGTCTTGTTTAGTCACATAAACATGGCCCTTTTAATTTTCTTTGTGGTTTCTTAACAAGGAGGTTTAAGTGGTGAAGTACGAAGTACTGCATGGAATGGTATTTAAGCATTTTGCATTGCATTTTCCACTTCTGTCTCCAAGTTAGACCTTTATGTTACTTGCCATGCATTCAGTTTGAAAGGATTTATTGTATCTGAGTGCCATGTGCCCAATCTAGTGCTGCTTGGTGCCACTGGATACAGAGAACTATAGCAAGTGATGACTACTTTTAAAGAAGTTAAACTTTTAAGTTTGGTACATTATACATGCTACAATATTAAGTATATTTCTGACAGGATAAAACTTCCATTTTTTTTTTCTGCATCTGTTGAGGATCATATGGTTTTTCTTTTATGGTTGGTTAATGTGGTGGATAATGTTAATTTTTGAACGTTAAACCAGTTCAGCATTCCTGTGATAAATCCCACTTGATCATGATGTATTATGCTTATAACATTTTGATGGACTCAGTTTGCTAAAATTTTGTTTAGAATTTTTCCATCTTTGTTCACAAGGGATAGTGGTCTGTAATTTTCTTTCGTTTTTATTATTTTTGCAATGTCTTTATGTGGTTTTGGTAGGAGGGTGATGCTGGCCTCATAGAAAGAGTTAGAATATATTTCTTTCGTGATATAGTTTGGCTGTGTCCCCACCCAAATCTCATCTTGAATTTTAACTTCTATAATTTTCACGTATTGTGGGAGGGGCTTTGCACTCCTTGCCTTTCACCGTGATTGTGAGGTGTCCCCAGCCATCTGGAACTATGAGTCCATTAAACCTCCTTTTTTTTTTGGTAAATTGCCCAGTCTCAGGTATGTCTTTATCAGCAGCATGAAAACAGACTAATACGTTTCTCTTCTATTTACTGGAAGAGTTTCTATAGATTTGGCATTTTTCTTCCTTAAATGTTTGGTAAAGCTGGATGGACCTGGATTTTCTTTGTGGAATATTTTGAACTTATATTCCAATTTATTCAATCAATATAGGGCTAGTTAGGTTATCTATTTCTTCTTGAGTGAACTTTGATAGTTTGTGTCTTTCTAGAAGGTTGTCTATTTTCTCTAAGTTGCTAAATGTATTGCTATGAAAATTTTTGTATTTTTCGTACTCTTCTAAGATAGAAAAATGTTTTTAAAATTTAAATCTGATCATGTCTTAACCCTGCCCAATCTCTTTTAATGTTACTTAGATTAAAAGCCAAATTTTGTGTCATGGCCCAAAAGGTATCACATGATTGTATTTCTCTTCCTCTTCAACCTTGTCTCATACAAGATTTGGTATCTCTCATTATGCTTTAGCCACACTGATAGATTAGATGCAAAGGGAGGAACCAAGGATTATGGACTTTTTCCCATTTCTTCAAGAGCTAAGATGTTTATTTCTTGAGGACCTTTGAATTTGTTCTTCTCCCTCCTTAGTATTTATTCTGTTCCCTCAAATTTTCACAGGATTTACTTCTTGCCATTTTGGGGTTTCAGCTACAAGTCACCTCCTGAGATCTTTTTTTTCACTCTAATCTCTTCCCTTCTCTATCATGTGACCCAATTTATTTCTTTTATAGAAGTTTTCACACTCTTTAATCATCTCACCTATTTAGTTATGTGCTGTATATTCTCCCACTAGTATATAAATTCCAAAAGGGCCTTCATCTGTCTTTTGCCTGACATAGTGACTTTCATACAGTAAGTGCTCAATAAATAATTGACAGCTAAAAGAAGCTGTAATTCTGAATAGAATGAGTGAATATAAGTAATTGACATCATCATTTACTTGAGATGATATAATAGTGGATCAGAAAGCTTAGCAACTCAGGCTTAAACCCAGAGATAAGGAGAAAACTTTGTTTCATTTATTCTTCTTCATTTTTTTTTTAAGTTTACTTCAAGTTCTGGGATACATGAACAGAATGTACAGGTTTGTTACATAGGTATACATGTGCTGTGGTGGTTTGCTGCACCTATCAACCTATCATCTAGGTTTTAAGCCCCGCATGCATTAATTATCCATTATCTAGTACTCACTGTTTTTTGTATATCCTGTCATTGTAACACATCTAAATGATGGGGTTATCTTTGGCATCTCCTTAATGTTACACCAGCTTTTAATTGTTGTAATAGCTGTAGTTTTAATAGCTGCCATTTAGTCAGCCCCTAACATGTGCCAAGTTTTGTGCAAGTGGCTATCCATTCATTATTTCTGATGAAAGTGCCAACTACTTTTTAGAGATATCATAAAACTAAAACAAGTAATGCAGAAGATCCTATACCAGATTAAATGATGTTTTTAAAAAATTCAGTATTACGATTTTCTTTTGTATATACTTTCAGTCATCAAATATTTATTTAGCACCTACCATATATGTGACGTTGGGCAAATTATTTTACCACTCTGTACTCAGTTTCCTCATCCATAAAATGGCAGTAATAATAATACTAGCTCATATGATAATTAAATAATATATGTAAAGCACCTAAACAATGCCTGGCATGTAATAAGTTATAGTGCATAAAAATATTAATTATTATTATTTTCAAGCCATGTGAAGAAATCTATGACCAACATAAAACATGTGAATATGAGGTATAACACATTCCTAGAAGGTTATACTCAGTAATATAAAAAATACAAATTTTTTATAAAGTAATACATTAGATAAAATTTTAGTCAGAATCCCAAAGGGATTTTTAAAAATTGAAACAAGTGAAAATGACCCTAAAGTTTATGAAACAGCCTAGAAAATTTAGAAAAGGAAAAGTAAAGAGAAGGGATTTGCCCTACCGGTTACTGAAACATTTTTTTTAAATGTAGTAATTAAGACAGTATGGTTCTAGCAGAGGAGAAAAGGAAAAATAAACTGAATTATTTGGTATTAGAATTAGCAAGCGAAGGCCGGGCACGGTGGCTCAAGCCTGTAATCCCAGCACTTTGGGAAGCCGAGGTGGGTAGATCACGAGGTCAAGAGATCGAGACCATCCTAGTCAACATGGTGAAACCCCGTCTCTACTAAAGATACAAAAAATTAGCTGGGCATGGTGGCACGTGCCTGTAATCCCAGCTACCCAGGAGGCTGAGGCAGGAGAATTGCTTGAACCCAGGAGGTGGAGGTGGCGGTGAGCCGAGATTGCGCCATTGCACTCCAGCCTGGGTAACAAGAGCGAAACTCCGTCTCAAAAAAAAAAAAAAGAATTAGCAAGCGACTGTAAAAAGGTAGTAATGGGTCAGAAGATATTTCAAATCAATGCAGAAGGAATGGATTATGTAATAAATGGTCTTGGAAGAATTAGCCAGTCACTTGGCAAAAAGTTGGATTGCTATTTAGTATCTTAAACTATTCTAAACTTATTGAAGACTTAAGTGCATAAAACATGAAACAATGCCAACCACAGCTGCCATGTTACCTGTACTGGTATGCCCTTCCTTCCTTCTTTATCCCTTCGCTATACAGTGCCCAATAAACTGGCCAAAGAACATATTTCTGCATTTGAGGACTTTCTCATGCTATTTGACAAAGAGGCCAAAAGCACCATCACAAAAAGGAGTTTGAAACTTAGGACACTAGGTCAGAATACAACAGAAGCAAAATAATATGGATGCTAAGGTCATTGTATATTACCGTTTTAGCTAGGCATCTTGTACAGGTTTGAATACTTAGCATGTATTAGTACTTACTATGTTGCAGGCAGTGTAACAATGCTTTGCATATATTGATTCACTTAGTCTTCATATGAGATAATACCATTATTACACATTTTCGATGAGGAAACCAGGGCACAGGGAGGTTAAATAATTTGGCCAAAGCCCACACATCTGGTAAATGGCAAAGCCAGGATTCCAACCCAGGCAGTCTGGCTTCCAGGGCCTATGCTTTTAACCACTTTACTACACTGCTTATGTAGTCAATGGAAAGATATAAAAAAAAAACAGAGAAGAAATTAACAAAATTTGACAAGGATGGCAGTGGTTATTTACATCAGTGCTCCAGAACCATGTCACGTAATTGCAGAGAGAAGATAGCCTAACAACATGAAGAAATAGATAAACCGATCAGAGAACTAGATATTGAGGGAAATGCTTTGACGACTTTATATAGATGATGATTACAAGATGAAAATCCCATTTCACTGTAATTTCCTCCTACAGATATATCAGATCGAATGTTTTTAAGAAGATCGTTTATTCTGTTTCTTTATAGAAAACTCATGTCAAAAATACCTTCGTACACACATAAGAAAAATCGACATGTACTTGTAGACATTTGTTTCCCCAAAAGATCAAGCTGTACACCTGTTTACAATTATAAGTACTGGTGATAAGTGACAAGGAAACACTTAGTAGACTCTTTAAAGCTCTCCTTGTGCATGCTTCTTACACTATTTTGCTGGCTTGTTTATCCGGTTTTCATGCACCTTGTTAGCTGAGCATGACCAAATCTTGAAGTGCCTTATATGCAGTATTACAGATTTTAGACTTTTTCCAGATGGCTTTATCTGGAAGCCACTGAAGGGTGTTTAAATAGGGTACTGCTGTAATTTTAATGCAAGTTTGAGGATACCTCTCCCTGCGTACTCTGAAGAATACAGAGGAAAGTGTGACGAGAAACAGACCCATCTTTTCTAGTCTGCATGACATCTTATGCATGTTTATTACTTTGATTAATCTAACATCTGTGTTTCTTTTATTAGGTAACCCAGGTTTTTCTGCCTTTTATGTGCCATTTGCAAAGGCTTTATACTCTTTGACAAACAGACGCTTTCCAGTTTGGACTATCAGTCATGCTGGGCATGCACTGGCTCCAAAAGACAAGAAGATTCTCAAAACATCAGAGGGTATGTCCTTGTTAATATCTACTTTCCTTTACAGTGAGTGGAGGGTCATGTTTCTAGAAACCCTGCTAAGGTTAAGAGTTACAGCAGTGGAAACCTCTGCTTGTGGCATTAGGCCTGTGGTGCCATATTTTGGTAAACTTAGGATTTTGGGGGACTTTTTAACTCTCCAGGTAATTTTCTGTAAGAATATGGGTAGATAAAACAACCTATGATTTGCCTTCTTTGTTTATCAGTTAGTAATCAACTGTATGTTTATTTATCGTGTATAATTTTTCTAGGGTTATACTAGGAGGAATGGTGGAGAAAAGTATTATAAACCAGCATTCCCCAATCTTTTTGGCACCCGGGACCAGTTTTGTGGAAGACAATTTTTGCACGGACTGGGACCGGGGGATGGTTTTCCGGATGAAACTGTTTCACCTCAGATTATCAGGTGTGCAACCTAGCTCTCGCATGCACAGTTCACAACAGGGTACTCCTATGAGAATCCAATGCTGCCGCTGATCCGACAGGAGGCAGAGCTCAGCGGTAATGCTCATTCGCCCATCACACACCTTCATCTGTGTGGCTGAGTTCCTAACAGGCCACAGATAGGGGTTGGGAACCCCTGTTATAAACCTTGTTCTTTACTTTAAATAAGCTTTTCCTCTCATATTTAGAGAATGATTAAGTGATAAACTGTGGCCTGCTAATCATGTAGACACCTCAGGAGTAAACAAAGGAGAAAATCCAGTGTGGGTTAGGAGAGACTTTGTGGAGTAGGTATGTGTCTTAGTCAGTTTGGGCTGCTATAGCAAAATACCATAGACTAAGTAGCTTATAAAAATAGAAATTTATTTCTCATAATTTTTTGAGACTCGAGCTCCAAGATCAAGGCACTGGCAAATTCGACATCTAATGACGAGCTACTTTCCGATTCACAGGTGGCATTCTTGCTGTCCTCTCATGGTGGACAGAGGAGGCAAGCTCTCTTGGGACTCTAGAGGGCTTCACTCTTACGACCCCAACTAATCCTAATTACTTGCCAAAGGCACCCCCTCCACCTCTTAATAGCATCACATTTGGGCATAGGGCCTCACCTATGGATTTGGGGGCCATATAAGCATTCAGACCATAACAGTTGGTTTTGACAATTGAATAAGATTAGGATTTAGGGTGTGGAGGTGGGTGCAGAGGTCCAACAGGCAGAAGGAGTAGCACAGAAGGAAGCAAGATTTAGTAGGGATGTTACTGCTAAGGAGGGCCAGTTTGAGAGGAACCCTGAAAGCTGGGGAGAGACCAGGACTCCATGCTGCAAGGCTTCTAAATGGAAGAAGTAATACCATGGAGACGCAAACTACCTCCTTTAAATTTGTGAGAATTCCAGCATGTTCACAGTTCCACAAAATAAAAAATGAGGAAAAAAAGAAAAACATAACTTAAATAAAACTTCGTAAAACAAAACATAACTTTATAAAAGTATAGCACATCCAAGAGTTGTGGGACAGTTACAAAAGGTATAACATGTGGAATGCTCAATACGTATTCCATTCAAGAGTGTTTTGTTCTGAGAGGTTTCCTTTAGTTAATTTGAGATGAGATCGGGTGGCTGTGACTTCATTGCCTAGTTTGCTTCTGGTTCTTGTGTGTGTCTCTGGTGTTATGAGCATCTTTTTGTGTTTGTTGAGCTTCTAAGTTTCAAAGATATTATATGATAAAGTTACATTTTACATCTGTAGTCTTCATTGTTATATATGCATGATTCTTTTAGACATTGATGTACAAGTTTGAACATATAAAAGCCTGTGCTCTGTGAATTATCTCAAGTGATATTGAAGGCTGGTTTGATTGTATTTAATTGTATTTTCTGACTTCAGCCTCTGAGCCTCATATTAAATACAATTTTTTGTCTCTTTTAAAATTTGAATATGGTAGCAATACATACAATTGCATATGTGAACTCTTCTAAAAACCTGGAAAAGATTAGTTTACTAGTCTGTTATAAATTTGGGTAAATGTTGCATGTCAGATAAACAGTATCAATTTATCTAGTTTTATCTAATTGTTAACCTTGCATTTTGCAGCTGACCATTTAGCTGCAAGAGAGTATATTGTATAATTTCAAAATGGATTACCTTCCTTTATTGTATTATATTAGAAAGTTGTATGTTCTTATTTTAAAAATTAGACAATATGGAAAACTGAATAAAAAAATAAAAAAACAGTTTCCTGTAAATTAAAGGTTGAAAAGGAATACTAAAAGTTCATAATCTTTTGTTTCGATTATGCTTAAACCTTTCAATCTAAAACCTAGTAAATATTAGGACGTTGGCACTAAGAAATGAGATTTTCCAATGACATTAATACCTTGTGTAATCGCTCAGATATTTTCTAGGCTGAAGTAAGCATCTAGGAATAGTATCACCAGGGACCATGTTTTTAGTGCTTTTACCCCTGTGACAATATCATGATGAAGTATGTATCTTAAACCTTAGTGAAATAGTTACATTTAGATTTTTAGGGTATTTTTTTCAGCATTTATTTGCTTCTTACTACCTATTCATAACTTATAGTTGGCATATTTTATGCATTAAGAAAATATTTAGTATATAATTTTTTAAAAATAAATAGTGGACTTCCAGTTTCAGCTCTGACACGTAGAACTTGGAATTTGTCACTCTTCTCCTTGCAATAAGAGAAAAGCTGAGGCTGAATGTGGTGGCTCATGCCTTGTAATCCCAGCACTTTGGAAGACTGAGGTGGGCAGATCACATGAGGCCAAGAATTTGAGACCAGCCTGGCCAGCAAGGCAAAACTGCACCTTTACTAAAAGTATCAAAATTAGCCAGGCATGGTGGCACTTGCCTGTAATCCTAGCTACTCGGGATGCCAAGACACAAGAATTGCTTGAATCTGGTAGGTGGAGGTTGCAATGAGCCAAGATTGTGTCACTGTACTTGAGACTCTGTCTCAAAAAAAAAAAAAAAAAAAGAAAGAAAAGAAAAGAAAAAAAAAAGCCAAACAAAACTAAAAATAATTTTTCTTAGAATTTTCAGAGAATTGAGGTCACAGGACAAATAGTTACCTAAAATCTGGAGAGACAAGGAAATACAATGAAGATCAGCTTGTCTGAAGCAAAAGACACTAGTGCCATTTATGTAGAATACATAAATGGTGATTTGGATGAATTGCTGAGGGCAAAGTACAGGCTATTTTAAGAGTAACAAACTTCTGCAAGCCTATTCTTGGGGGACTTCCTCACTTGCGTGGGCATTACCTCTAGTAAGCTTATCAGGTTCTTTTGTGAAAATTTGAGAAATGTCCCCTATGGTTTTTGTTAGGGGTAAAAGAGAAGTAAGCATTTTGTAGTATGTCCAGAGTATTCTCAATAACATGGCTTACTTTACAAGGGAAAAATACTTCCAGAGCTTTATCCAACCTAGGAGAAGGACAGTTAGCCAACTCCATCTTCCTCTAGCCTTCCTGTCTCACATGCTGGAGGGAAGAAAAAAAAAGATGATGAACTCTTTTGAAGATCACAGAACAAGCATTCAGGCCCACTGAAAGACTGAGATTTAATCATTACATTATAGGATGCTTCCTTCCTCATTTTACCACTATGTATGTCAGCAGGCCTCTACCTTAATACTAGTATATTATAACTGTAGGAGCTGCAAGATACAAACTCTATTTGAGAAGGAATTCTTAGGGAAAACCAAAGACAACAGAGAGAAAAAAAAACAAGAATATTGGAGGAAACTGAAGTTTCTGATACCTATAGCTGCAACAAACATTAAGTATAGCCCTGGCTGGGCGCAGTGGCTCATGCCCATAATCCCAGCACTTTAGGAGGTTGAGGTGGGCAGGTCACTTGAGGTTAGGAGTGTGAGACCAGCCTAGCCAACATGATGAAACCTTGACTCTACTAAAAATACAAAAATTAGCCAGGCATGGTGGTACACGCCTGTAGTCCTAGCTACTCAGGAGATTGAGGTGGGAGAATTGCTTGAACCCGGGAGGCGGAGGTTGCAGTGAGCCGAGATCGTGCCACTGCACTCCAGCCTGGGCAACAGAGTGACACCCTGTCAAAAAAAAAAAAAAAAAGCACAGCCCAGCTTCTAGCCACATTAACATAATTGACACATAGCTATTTACCTCATTCCTACTACTCAATACATCACGTCCAGCATTAAGCAAAAAATAAAATTATAAGGCATTGTAAAAGGTAAGGAAAAAACAGTCCGAAGAGATAAAGCAAGCGTCAGAAATAGAGTCAGATATATACCTATTACTAATTTTTAGAATTATCAGATCACAAATTTACAGTAACTATGATTACTAGGTTGAGGACTCTAATGGAAGAAGTAGCATGCAAGAACAGATGGGTAATGCAAGCAGAGAGTAGGGAACTCTTAAGAAAGACTCAAAAAGAAATATTAGAACACACCATACCAAAAATGAAAAATGCCTTTGATGGACTCATCAGCAGGCTGGACGCAGCTGAGGACAGAATCAGTGGGCTGAAGAAATAGGTTAATAGAAACTTTCCTAACTGAAATGCAAAGAGAAAAAAACAGTAATTTATAAAAGTACAGCATATCCAACAGTAGTGGGACAATTTCAAAAGGTGTAACTTACGCATAATTGGAATACCAGATCAAGAAAAAAGAGAAAATGGAGCTGATATAGTTGAAGTACTTAATGCCAGATGACAAAACACAGGTCTAGGAATCTCAGCGCACACTAAGCAGGGTAAATGCTAAGGATCTACGCCTACATATGTCATATTTAAGTTGCAGAAAACCAAAGACAAAATCTTGAAAGTAGGCAGAGGAAAAAGTACCTTACCTATGAAAGAACAAAGATGAAAATTACAGGGAACTTCTTGTCAGAAACCATTTAACAAAGAGGAGAATGGAGTAAAATATTCAGTGTCGAATGAAAAATACCACCAACCTGGATTCCTCTCTCTAGTGAAATTATCCTTCAAAAGTAAAGGAGAAATAAAGACTTTTTCAGAC